ATGCCTTTTATTAGCAATCATCACAATGTTTATGTTTTCACAATTTATATTTGTTTTTAAATTTCCTGTTTGGAACTGCACGCACTTCTTTACTAATCGTATAAATTATTTAACATATGGTATAGAGTTATATGTATCTTTGTGTACCCTACCTTCACATAATTCTCCGTAGAAACCAATGTTTATATATTTGGGAACACTGACTTCAACTAAATCTTATAAGCTTTACTTAAAATGTGAAATAATTATAATCTCAAACCTTCGGGAAGTTAGAAAAACACAACTTTACGAGGGTAGCTTACTCTCATAAAACGACATACACCTGTCAACAAGTGACTGATTCTCAACTATTTTGGTGTAGTGTTCACATACATTTTACTTGTGTGCCCTTCTACTCCTGTGTAAGGTTGAAACTAGTGCCTGTTTAATTCTTCTAAGTATGGGGAACAAGAAGAAGTCTAGACACTCAGTTCTAAAAAAAAAAAAAACATTTCTAGATGATAAACATACTGGTTCACTCAGTAAGGAGGAGCTGAGCAACGAGTTTTCGATAATGAGAAAATTTGCCCATACACCAACAACATTCTTCTTCACATTCACCAGCTGTAAACTCTGGCAGAAATTCTGGCTGTTCTTCCCCTCTGGACTTTAGTCTTGTTCCGGAACCTGAGTGTTGCATGCACATAGATTTTACAAATTTTAGATATCTGTATGCAGACTGTTGGTCCATTGCCTCTCAGGCAGATGCACTCCGACTTCGAAGAGGAAACAAAAAAACTAGTAGACTCTTACGACATGCTTGTTGAGGAGGCAGCGGGTCTATTCTTGTCCCACCCCCCCCCTCCCCCACCCCCACAATGGGGCGCCAGAACCCACAGGGATAAAAACTTTACAACATCACAGAATACCAAACAACTGAGCATGCCCTAGAACATCTGCCTATTATCTGTTAATTAGGCTGGAATGTCTAGTGGTACAAAGCAGGTACTGAGAAAAGAAAAACAAGAAGAATCATAGAAGAATACATCAACTTCTCAGGCATATTCTGTTTAGCCTGAAGTATTTTGTATAAGTGAATTTTTGTGCCATGACACAGTGAGATCAGAGAGGTGAATGAGCTGACTGGCTTGCTGGTAGGGCCACACTAGTACAAGCAATGGACCGGGTCTATGTTCTCAATGTCTCAAGTAGGCAGGACATTTAGATGTCTTAAGTGATGATGGTAAATTGATATCATTAAAAGGACCATACAAAGCATACATGAAAAGAGAAGAGGGACGTAGAGCACAAGGTAGACCAAGAACAAGATGGAAGGATAACATCAGAGAAACTCTACAACAGCACGATGTGCCTATGGTCGAGGCGGCCAGAAGAGCTAGAAACAGAACCTTTTATCTCCCTCGACACCCACAGCGGTAACAGAGTAAGTGAAGAAGAAGAAGAAAAGGACTACAAGACCTCAAGGACACAAGTGGTATTGCCAGATATGAACACTACAGAGGTAGCCAAAGGAGAATAGTAAACCAACACAGAACTTTATATTATCAGTCGCCACACACTGAGCGATATAATGAAGATGGGATCCGAGGGCTTATAGACCTGTCCTATGTGCAATGAGGATAATTGTTCAATTAACTAACTAACTAACATACACGTAAATGTGTTCAGTTATGGCAGTAAGGTAGCTAGTTTTTGCCTCTTTTAGCCTCAGCACCCCAAATCAAACTTCCCTTTGCTATGGGTTTCTTGAATTCATGGCTCCTGGATCCATTTAACCCACAAAATGTGCAGAAATAACTGGCCCAAGTGTATGACATTTGCTTGAGAACATTTACAAGATCTTGACTACAGCATGAGAAAATGCAAAGAACAAGTAAGTATGTCAGGATCGTCTGAAGAAACTATGGCCTCACGTAACATCCCCAGTATGTCAGATTGTGGGCAGACAACGTCAGGTTTTTCCACATGTAAGCATTTGAATGTAAGTGGACGCTTGTAATCTTTGTAATCTCAGTGTCAGCTTCATAGCAAACGAGTCACCCCATAGTTGCTCCGCTCCTGTGCCAACGAAAAACACACAGAATGTTCGTCGCAGTCCCTTGTGGAAAGATTGACAGACTGCTGTCTCAGCATATGCACTAGCATACACACACATTAAAAGCATACGGTAGCCATCAGAAGTGCTAACACAAACAGGTGGACATTAGAAATGCAGTTCACCATCGATGGTAGCAGAAGTCGCCAACAGATCAGCAGTTGCGCACATGATCAATGTTAATCACAAAAGGGCACCACCATTATTGCGGCGACAGGCCACGCGCGATTTTCTCAATCTACAGTTCACAACACGCTTGTTTTTGTGCCCTTGGTACTTCGGGCATAAAGAGCTAGACTTATATTTTTATTTTAAAATCTGCCTTGATGCAAATTTGAACCCTAGACAGACCAGCAAGTGCGTGTCTAGCTGCTATGCCACCATGCAGCACTTATATAATTTATCAACAATTGACTCATCAAGTATCAAACAGCTTAACTTGTGTGTTTGCTTAACTTTCTGCACAGTATCGTTATCCGATCTTTTGTAGCATCAGTTTTACATTAACCCTGTCACCACCAGTAGGTTAAACCCAGTCACTTGATTTGCGACACAGTCCCATAAATGCCTAATATGTGGCCATGTCTGTGGAGGCCTGTTCTCGAAAAGTGTTTTTGAATTCTATTGGTCTTATGCGCTCATGTGCAGTTTTTAACACGCCAAGTTAGATATTGTGAGGGCCCTTTGGGAGTGAGCGAACACCCCGGAGGCGCCGATAGATCATTATGGTCTAAAGATAATGGCGCTGCGAGGAGTTACCAGGGGATCTGGTCGATGCTCAACACTCAGGGAAAGGATGAGACGGATATACAGTCAGATGGTTACTGGTACCATCAGAACTGGAACTTTTCGCTTGCTGCTGAAGATGAGGACTGAGCACTTATGGGAGTGTCCCGGGTGCTGTGATGTCGGTTCTTAATTCAACATTTATAACAGGCCAGGATATGAATATAGTAACCTTTCTGAAAGCCAAGTTTATGTCAAATTTTTCCCCGCAAGCCTTTAGTGACAGAGGTCAGAGCTTGAGTCATCTGATAAATGAGTTTTTTTTCAATCATCTGATGTGTGTTGTTTTTTTAATTTCCATGATAAATGTCTTCATATAAATAAATTATAGATACATTTTTAGAAAATTCATCAGTGACATGTGTAATATGGTTATTTTTTTTAAGGAATTTTGTCCGGTAATGCCCCAGGATTTTGACTCCCCCTTCCCCCCCCCCCACTTTTTTTAAAAGCATTCACACACTGTGCCCCACATTTTACCTTAACACACACAGTCCCACTCCCTACCTTAATACCTTGTCCCAAGTTTTATCTAAACACATCTGTCGCTTTTCACAGAAGCAGAGGAAGGAAGGAAGCCGAGACACGGGGACACTTTGGACAATATATAAATCAAAAGTCGTAATCCAACAAATGCACTTGGACTTTAGAATACGAACTGAATCCATTCAGTGACTGAGCTCAAATGGTGAATAACTCATATCTTACAACTATTTCTCCATTAAAACTAATGTAAATAATTGTAATTCATTCCAGCCCTAAAAAAACTACCCTATTAAATATTTTTTTAAACTTTTTTCGAGGCAGGATCACCCACGCTAACTGGCAAGGCACTTGATCATGATGGTTATGATTGTTTTTTGTTTTTCACATAAGATTCAGTGACCACTACATGGAAAGGGAAGGTCTTCCATATGTTCAGCAAGATTGCATAAATGCTTAAGCACAGTGGTCAAACTCTATGTTGCAAAAGCGTAAGGTTATTGAGCTGCGATGTTCAATTCTTGACTGCACATTTTCTGAGATCATGTGTGGAGCTACGGAGTACATGCTTTATGTGAGTGGTGGCATAAGGAGGCCAGCCACTCAGCAGAAAGAAAATTAGTCACACGAGATCAAATCAGACACAATAAAGTTGATCCTATCATCTTAAATGACTCCTCCCCGTGTGGGTTTCTGGGCCCCATAAGAAGCATGTCCAAAAAGGCTGAATAATTTGGAGTTTTCTCAAAGTCTGAGTGCATCAGCTTGAGAGACAAGGAACCAACAGTCTGCATACAAATAAGCTAGACTTGTAAAATGGATGTACATGTATCACTCAAGTATGGAACAAGATTAAAGTCAAAAAGTAGATGAACAACTATTGAACCTTCCGCCGGAGTTTACAGCCAGTGACGGCCAAAAAGAAGAAACCACCCCTGAGAACCTAGAGACTGACAGGGATATCCCATCCTGCCTCAAAAACACTAGAACAGAGGTTCTCAATCAGCTAAAACCAGTGGGACTCCACTTTTTTCAGAAGTCTGCCATGGACCCCAGACTTTTTAACAACCACACTGATGAACTTATAGTTTATTAATTTTAGAATCGCAAAAAGGACTACACTCTCAAGTTGAGGGTATTTTTGTAAAAAATATCACTGAGCCCCTTAAATCTGTTTCCTGGCAATACTGCACTGTGTAGGGATGTTATCACAAGATAAAGATAACAAGCTACCACAATGAGTGGATTTGTATACGAATATATTAATGTTTATCACAGCAAGTCACTGTCCTGTTTATTCTCTGACCGATTTTGTGAGCATTCACATACAAATCCTAGACATCCAGACAGAGCAGTGGTTCTCAACCTTCCTAACGCCAAAACCCTTTAATACAGTTTCTCATTTTGTGGTGACCCCCACCATAAAATTATTTTTGTTGTTACTTCACAACTTCTGTGAATACGTGTTTTCCCGATGGTCTCAGGTGATCCCTGTGAAAGGGTCGTACAACCCCCAAAAGGGTCACCACCCATAGGTTGAGAACCGCTGAGATAGAGCCTTAGGATACAGAAGAATCACAATCAGTGTAGCTCCCGAATGTGTTAGAATGCTGGCAACAGAAGCTAGGTTACCTACCTTTTTCTTCTTCAGTTTTTTGGTGTGTATGTCCATGAGGGACTCTGAACGTTTAGATTTCTGAAACAAACGGCAGCCATTTGTACAAGAGTTGTAAAAACAACACTTGGAAAATAATGAAAGTAATTATTAGTAATGCATGTTTATATTTGTTTATATCTGCAAATGTGTATATCTGTTTAAAAATCTGAAACAAACGGCAGTGAAGTGTACACAAGTTTGTTAAACAACACTTAGAAACAAATAAAATTAATCATTTGCATTGCATGTTTATATGTTACAATAGACACAAAACCGCTAGATGATCAATAACAGTGGCAGCAAGTGAATAATGCAAAACGGCAGAAAGATCATTAAAGCCGGGAAGAGAATGGTGGCCAGGCAATCCGACTGACACTCCACTCAGAGGCATCCCACTGTACGCACTGAAGCAATGGAACTCTTCGTTGTCTGCTGAACATGGAGAGGTAGCACTTACGGGAATGCCCCAAAGTCCTGCCCTACTGGTTGTTAAGTCAATTCAACTCAAATAACAATGGAAACTGTTGGCAAAAAGAATCAGTCAAGTCAAGTGTGACTTTAGAAACTTACTCTTTTAGGGTACCTAATATGGAGATGAGATTTCTGTACCACAATTTCTGGGTACATATTATCACGCCAACATTTCTGCAAATTCAATTCAGTTTAATATTAGGAAAAACTACTTCCTAGAAAACCACTTCCTGGGAAGCTTAAGTTATAAGTGTGGTACCAAACTTGCTGTAATTACATTGGTAAGAGCTTAAAGGCCATAAATACTTAGGTGTGAAGAAGTTCAACAGAGAGACTATGTGACAAAATCATTTATAAGGTTTCTCTAGTAGACAAATATAAGACACCATGGCTACATAACTAAACATCTTACTTTACTTTACTTTTTCCTTCCACGTATGCCGCTAAGCGTTGTGGGGAGATGCAAGTTCCTGTCGTAAGCAAGGCGGGCAGCTTCTGATGTTCTGAGGCCATGCTTTTGGCAGGTTTCGGAGACCCCGTCAATCCACCGTTTCCTTGGTCTTCCTCTTGCCTTATATCCTGAGCTTCTTTGGTTGAAAATTTGTGATGTTATTTGATCATTTTTCATCCTGGTTAGATGTCCAAACCATTTCATTCTTTGATGTTCTATGTAGTCTAAACATGGTGTAGTTTTGACAGTGTTTCTAATGTCTATATTCTTTATCCTGTCTAGTCTGGTCTTATTCGCTGCTTTTCTTAGACATTTCATTTCACAGGCTTCTATTTTTCTTTCGTGGGTCTTGTTGATTGTCCATGTCTGGCACTGGTAGCAGAGTGTTGGAATGAAGATGGTGTTTATCAATTGTCTTTTGGTCTTCATGGTTATATCTGGATGTTTAAGCAGAGGTGATAGTTGGTATGTGACAGCATTTGCTTTCTGTATTCTTGTTTCTATCTCTCTGTCCATTCTTCCATCCTCTGTAAATATACTGCCCAAGTATTTGAACTCTTTGGTTTGCTTGATTTTGGCACTTCCAACACTTATATTCAGTGGCCTGTGTGTTCTGCTGATCTTCATAACTTCTGTTTTTTCTGTACTGATTCTCATATTATGTTGTAAACAGCTGTTGTTGAGAGTAGTCAGATGTTCCTGTAGATCATGTTCATTTTGATACAGTATGCTTTGATCATCAGCAAAAAGTAATTCGTTTATAGCATACACGTCTGGGTTTGCTTCTACAGTGATCTTATCCATGTATGTTATGAAAAGTAATGGTGACAGTACACATCCTTGTCTGACACCAGTTGTGACTTTGAACCATTCAGAAAGACCAGTAGATGTTCTTACTGCACTTTCACTTTTTTCATAGAGGGCTCTGATGTTGTCTAATAATTGACCCTGCACTCCGTAATCGTCAAGAATTCTCCACAGCACATCTCTGTCTACACGGTCGAATGCCTTCTCTTGATCTACAAAGACCACGTTCAGCTCTTTATCGTATTCGAGTGTCTTTTCACAGACTTGTCTTAGTGCAAATATGGCCTCCTTTCTAATTTTCGTAGCAATAAAAAATCCACTGCCGGCTTGCTAGGCCAGTCGCAGTTTAACATCCTAGGCTTTAAAAGAAGCTATTAACTCATGTAATTTAATTGTACATAAGAGCAAACGATTAAAAGACATTCAGAGCCTAAGACACCCGAAAAGCTCAAGAAAAATACACAAAAACAAGACACTGGGCTACAACCCAATATCAGTGAGACGATAAAAGAAGAAGCAGAGAAGATTTCTCCACTCATGAAAACCACTGGTGCTGTGTTATCCTAACGAGTATGGAGACATTTAAGGAAAGAGACAATTACTGAATACTGGATGTACTGTGTTGGATCTATATTTGTTCTGAGCATGCAAATGAAGAGTCACTGAGGTTAAGACAGTGAAGGGGCATAACCACAGTTGACTCAGACACCAGTCCCTGGTGTGACTGACCTAATACCAAATAACTGCAGCAATTCTCTCCAGTCAAAATCTAACAGAGGGTCACCCACACCACCACCCACACAACATCATCATCTTCATGTAGTCAAAAGTTCTTGCAGTCTAGTCCTCAATTTTGTTCCTTCACTGGCTAACCTTTAGATATCATGGAGGGAATCCAGACCACCACCCCTGGCCTGCAAGTTTCTGCAATTATGCTGTTTCGTTTTACAGCATAGGGTATTTGACTTCTGTCACTCAGGTATTGCCAACGTGCTTGGTAATGCCAGGTTTGATCCCAGCTGCAGGTCATCTGGCAGCATTGCTATCGACTAATTGTCTTGTCTTGTTTGTTGTGACTGACCATGTCTGACACTGGTAGCATAGAGTGGGAAGGAAGACGCTTTTGTATGAGATGCTCCTTTGTGCTGACTGGGATTGTCTTGTGTTGTAAGAGGGGGGGGTAGCTGTCCCGATATTTGGTTTGCTTTAATGCATCGGATGTTCATTTCTTCATATAATTTATCATCTTCAGTTAATGCCGTTCCCAAATATTTTAACTTAGATGCAAAACCCTCAATGCCCTTGCATTCTACTGTTATATTTAGTTTCCGCTAAAATGATCCTTTTTTTTAAAATAAGTACAAATAAAAAAAAATATGCTTAAGACTGCAGAAATAAATGTAAAAATAACAAAATTTGGGTGAATAATTAAACAATGCCAGACAGACCCCAAAAAAAAATCACACTGTGAAAATAAACAATGTTAATGAAACAGTCACAAAGCACATCAGCAAGACCAAAATGGCACCACACACAGTCACTAAGCCCAGTAGTAGGAGGCCTCACCAACTGCCTGTACATCCTAAAAGAGGGAGATTTTAGAAGGCAAAACTTACATTATATTCCTCGACTTGCTGATGCATCTGCTCATCATGAGCAGAGACTCCTTTGTCTTCTTCACGCCTGCGCTTCTTCCCCTTGCCATCCTGAAACAAGAGAAACAGAGACATCCTGAAACAACAGAAACAGACACATCCTGAAACAACAGAATAACAGCCTAAAACAACAGAAACAGACACATCCTGAAACAACAGAATAACAGCCTAAAACAACAGAAACAGACACATCCTCAAACAACAGAATAACAGCCTAAAACAACAGAAACAGACACATCCTCAAACAACAGAATAACAGCCTGAAACAAGAGAAACAGACACAGCCTGAAATAACAGAGAAACAGCCTGAAACAAGAGAAACAGACATATCCTGAAACAAGAGAAACAGGCACATTCTAACACAACAGAAACATCCTAAAACAAACGAAACAGACACACCCTAAAACAACAGAAACAGAGATATACTGAAACAACAGAAACAGACACATCCTGAAACAACAGAAACAGAGATATACTGAAACAACAGAAACAGAGATATACTAAAACAACAGAAACAGAGACATCCTGAAACAACAGAAACAGAGATATACTGAAACAACAGAAACAGAGACATCCTGAAACAACAGAAACAGAGATATACTGAAACAACAGAAACAGAGACATCCTGAAACAACAGAAACAGAGATATACTGAAACAACAGAAACAAACACATCCTGAAACAACAGAAACAGAGATATACTGAAACAACAGAAACAGACACATCCTGAAACAACAGAAACAGAGACATCCTGAAACAACAGAAACAGAGACATCCTGAAACAACAGAAACAGAGATATACTGAAACAACAGAAACAGAGATATACTAAAACAACAGAAACAGAGACATCCTGAAACAACAGAAACAGAGATATACTGAAACAACAGAAACAGAGACATCCTGAAACAACAGAAACAGAGATATACTGAAACAACAGAAACAGAGACATCCTGAAACAACAGAAACAGAGATATACTGAAACAACAGAAACAAACACATCCTGAAACAACAGAAACAGAGATATACTGAAACAACAGAAACAGACACATCCTGAAACAACAGAAACAGAGATATACTGAAACAAGGGAAACAGATATATACTGAAACAACAGAAACAGAGACATCCAGAAACAAGGGAAACAGACACATCCTGAAACAAGGGAAACAGAGATATACTGAAACAACAGAAACAGACACATCTTGAAACAACAGAAACAGAGACATCCTGAAACAACAGAAACAGAGATATACTGAAACAACAGAAACAGAGACATCCAGAAACAACAGAAACAGAGATATACTGAAACAACAGAAACAGAGAGGTCCTGAAACAACAGAAACAGAGATATACTGAAACAACAGAAACAGAGATATACTGAAACAACAGAAACAGACACATCCTGAAACAACAGAAACAGAGACATCCAGAAACAACAGAAACAGAGATATACTAAAACAACAGAAACAGAGACATCCTGAAACAACAGAAACAGAGATATACTGAAACAACAGAAACAGACACATCCTGAAACAACAGAAACAGAGATATACTGAAACAAGGGAAACAGAGATATACTGAAACAACAGAAACAGAGACATCCAGAAACAAGGGAAACAGACACATCCTGAAACAACAGAAACAGACATATCCTGAAACAACAGAAACAGATACAGTCTGAAACAAACACATCCTATAACAACAGAAACAGACACAGCCGGAAACAAGAGAAACAGGCAAGCTAGCTAACTTAAGAGAGATTAAGGCTTTTCACATTTGTGAGTTCCCTGTGTCGGTTTCCCTATTGCCCAATATGAATAAACAAAGGGTTATTCCAAAATCAACCTCAGACTGGCTGGTAAAAATAAACTGTTTGCCATAGCGATACCGTTCACTGCTTGCATCATTCAGTAGCCTTTTACTCACTAGACACCAACCTACAGTTATATTTGTATAGTAGTTAATGAACCACGAATGAAAAAAGATGGAAACTGTTTTTTCAAGCAGAAGACGAGAAAGGCAATAACAGTGTCAATGCTTATTCGTTCATGGTTTATAAACCAATTAACAAATGTGACTGCAAGTTGGTGTGTAGTGAGCAAAAAGTTCCTGAATGATGAAAGCAGTGAACGGTGTCTCTATGGCAAAGTTTTTTTTTTTTTAAACCAACCAATCAAAGCTTCATTTAGGAACAGCCCTTGTAAAATCATGAATTTTAAACTGTAAAATACAAACAGCCAGCCCTGTGAAAAGAATCAGGTCTGCTTGAGCCAGAAGCAACCCATATCCTCACATTCAATCCTTGTCCTTGCTGTTGGCACATTGTACAGACTAGTCCAAGTCTGTTTGAAATTATTTTTGTCAATGAACATGTGTATGAGCAGAAGCTGGTCAAGAGGTTAGGATGCTGCGCTCCCATGTGGGTGACCTAGGTTCAATCCCTGGAAAGGGTTAGAGATTTACTCAGTCGGAAGCAGAAGTAAAAATCCTAACGTGCACAGTTCGTGGCAGGGCACTAGTCATGTGGTCTTTACTCTTTCGCCCCGAGAAGATGAACACGACACATAACAGTGTCACTTTTCTGCCTTGTCTACAGTGACCTGTTTACGAGACGCATAGCTAGCACAATTTGCTGAGTTTGTGCCAGCGCAAACGTTTCTGAGGTCACGATATGAGTACATTAACTAACAACAGCACTCAGTAGGGGTTTCCTTCAAGTTAAATGCCTTTTTTTTTTAAACGCTCAGCCGACATCAGATTTGTTTGTAAGCCTCAGTGACAGAGGTCACACCATGAGTCACCCGATACAAGGTGTGTTGTTAGGTCCCAATGGATGTATTCCATTTAATGCTTCACCCTGTTTGTTTTATTGTTTACTCCTTTCAAATATCTTTATATATTTCAAAAAAATAATTTTCAAATGTAAACACATTTTAAAAAAATTATATTAGTGACCTGTAACAAAAAATAAAAACAAAACAGTTTTATTTTACTGATAATTTTTTCTTGAATTTTAACAGGGCCATGACTTTTTTTTTTAAAGAGTCCCAGGGCGAAAAGTCTGAATGACCCTAGCTCATAACCTGCATGACCTACACCCCTCCCCACCGCAAGTAGACAGTGAGACCTCTGTATGAAAAAGAAAGCAAATAAAAACTTAGCTACACACTGCTAATACTTCATCCATGTGGACAATACCTTTTCTTTATGTACATGTCCGGAGTGCAATGATTATGTCCCAACTAACTAACTAATACCTTTTCTTTATTGACATGTCCGGAGTGCAATGATCATGTCCTAACTAACTAACTAACCGACTAACTAACTAGCCAACTAACTAACTAGCCAACTAACTAACTAGCCAACTAACTAACTAGCCAACTAACTAACTAGCCAACTAACTAACTAATACCTTTTCTATATTGACATGTCCAGAGTGCAATGATCATGTCCCAACTAACTAACTAACTAACTAGCCAACTAACTAACTAGCCAACTAACTAACTAGCCAACTAACTAACTAGCAAACTAACTAACTAGCAAACTAACTAACTAATACCTTTTCTTTATTGACATTTCCGGAGTGCAATGATCATTTCTCAACTAACTAACTAGCCAACTAACTAACTAGCCAACTAACTAACTAGCAAACTAACTAACTAGCAAACTAACTAACTAATACCTTTTCTTTATTGGCATGTCCGGAGTGCAATGATCATGTCCTAACTAACTAACTAGCAAACTAACTAGCTAATACCTTTTCTTTATTGGCATGTCCGGAGTGCAATGATCATGTCCTAACTAACTAACTAGCCAACTAACTAACTAGCAAACTAACTAACTAGCAAACTAACTAACTAGCCAACTAACTAACTAGCCAACTAACTAACTAGCCAACTAACTAACTAATACCTTTTCTTTATTGACATGTCCGGAGTGCAATGATCATGTCCTAACTAACTAACTAGCCAACTAACTAACTATACAACTAGCTAGCTAGCCAACTAACTAACTAGCCAACTAACTAACTAGCCAACTAACTAACTAATACTAACTAATCATGTCCTTACTAACTAACTAGCCAACTAACTAACTAACTAACTAACCGGAGTGCAATACTAACTAACTAGCCAACTAACTAACTAGCCAACTAACTAACTAGCCAACTAACTAACTAGCCAACTAACTAACTAGCCAACTAACTAACTAGCCAACTAACTAACTAGCCAACTAACTAGCCAACTAACTAACTAGCCAACTAGCTAGCTAGCCAACTAACTAACTAGCCAACTAACTAACTAGCCAACTAACTAACTAGCCAACTAACTAACTAATACCTTTTCTATATTGACATGTCCAGAGTGCAATGATCATGTCCCAACTAACTAACTAACTAGCCAACTAACTAACTAGCCAACTAACTAGCTAATACCTTTTCTTTATTGACATGTCCGGAGTGCAATGATCATGTCCTAACTAACTAGCCAACTAACTAGCTAGCCAACTAACTACCTTTTCTTTCTTGACTGAAGGTGTATCCGTCCAGCTGCCCCTGTCTTTAGAATCCTCTGAATGGCTACTTCCCTTGGCAAAAGTGCGGCTTTGCAGTCCAAAGTTTTTACCCATCTCAGGCGGAAGCTCAGTCATCCACTCTTCTCTTTTACTGGGTCCTTCCTCTGCTTCTGCCTAAACATTAGACCCAACAAACAAAAAATACAATTTGAATAAACACAAATATAATAAACAGTGAGTATAATACAAACATTCACACTAGCCATTTCTAAATGTGTCTGTCTATAAAGGGTAACTGTGTTGATAATGCAGTGTCAGCTATTTTACTTGTGTACTGAGTAAAAAACAACAAATAAGATGGTTTGGCCACCTGACGAGAATGCACTGGTAACAACTGCCACAGAGAGCCGCGCTGAAGAAATATAATGAACACAGAGCAAGGGGAAGACCACACAAATATGGAGCGACACTATCAGGAGCAAAACTGCTGATAGAGACGTCTGGCGATCTCTCTGGCAAACCTCTACACCCCAAGGTAGAA